TACTCAAGTCAAAATTAAGTTTCTACCACCTCGACAGGTGTTAGCCCGCTGGATTTGCCTAGCAGCATAGAAATCAAATTTCTGACATCTTGACATTTGGAGAAAAAATTATTTTTACAAAATGCTCTACTAAAGGTAGGTATCAGGCAAAATTAGTTTTCCTATTAGTTTTTCAGCAGGTTTGTATACAAGTTTAAAATTATACTTTCTGAGCTGGATGAGCATTCTCTGCAATCTAGGTGGACATAAATGCAATGGTTTTTTAATTATACTAATCAGAGGCAAAGGTTCTATTTCAACAGTTAAATCCTTAATGTCATAAATATATTGAGAATAACGAGAAAGTCCAAACCAGACACTTAACATTTCCTCTGCAATCTGAGAGTACCTAATCTGTGTTTCAGTTAATGCCCTTGATGCATGAGCACAAGGCCTACCCTTTTGCAAAAGCACAGCTACCATTCCACACTGGAAAGCGTCTACTGAGACAGTTGCAGATTGTTTATTTACGTCATAATAACTCAAACAAGGAGTACTTGACAAAATATCCTTTACATTGTCGAAAGCATTATTTTCTGCATTAGACCACTAAAAAATACAATCTTTTTCAAGTAAAACCTGAAGGGGTGCTGTTTTTTCAGATAGGTTTTCTATGAATTTACTCATATAAGTTATCATGCCTAAAAATCTCTGTAAATCTTTCTTGTTTTGAGGAGTTGACATATCTATCATAACCTGAATTTTATCTTCATTTGGTATTATATACCTTTATTTGTTATTAAATGACCCATATTTTACTTCAGTTAATAAAATTTTACATTTCTCTTTATTGAATCTTAAATTGTGCTTTTCTGCTAGAGATAGAATTTGACTTAACCTTGCATTATGCTGTTCTACAGTGTCACCAAAGATTAAAAGGTCGTCTATATAAAAACTACAGTCCTCAACGTTACCAAAAATATCAAACAATAATTCGCTCTTGAAATATTTCTGGAGCGCTACAAATACCGTAAGGTAATCTCAAAAACTGATACTTTCCAAACGGCGTGGCAAATGCACAAAGTTTTGAGCTTTCCTGATCTAATTTTACTTGGAGAAAACCCTGTGCTGCATCGAGGACACTAAAATATTTAGCACCAGACAATTTTGCTGTTAGTTCCTCTGTAGGTATTTTAAAAAAATGTCTTTTTATATTTAAATTCAAATCTTTAGGATCTAGAGCTATTCTAAGCTGTCCATTAGGCTTTCTAACTATAACCATATTGTGACACCAATCAACACAATCATCAGATCTTTTAATTAAATTGTGCTTTTCTAGCTCATCCAAAGTAAACTTTAATTTATCCCTAATCGCAAAAGGTACTTCTCAAGGACAATTTAAGCAAGGCTTTGCGCCATCTTTAAGCTCTATGTGACATTCTTTCTTCAAACATCCCATACCCTCAAAAACATTTTTATATTTTTTAAAAATATTGTTTACTTCAGAATATTTATTTTTTAGACAATTATTATCTATCTATTGAATCGATTCTTTTTATAAGTTCTAATTCTATACAAGCTTTTAGACCCAAAATAGGACTGTTATCAGCACTAACCACAAAAAATGCAAGATCAGATTGTTTATGCGTTGTTTTGCAATTTAAAATACAATGACCAATAGTTGGAATGTTACGTTTTGTATAAGAAGTCAACCTTGTTCTTGTGTTTTGAATTTTAGATAAGTCAAAATTGATACTTTTAAGATAACTCACAGATAAAGATATTTACCATAGCCCCGGCGTCTAACTTAAATTCTAGGTGATGACCACTTATCTCCAGCTCCGTCACCCATGATGAACTTCCAGACACTTCACAGACCTGACTGGTACAAACTGAGGTGCTTGAAGAAGAAAAGATAATCATTAAGCGTATCGATAATATCAGCAGAAGCAGAACTTGAGGCATCCCATAAATCATTCTCATCCTGATTAAGACAATTTATTTTTCTCTTGTTATTAAATTTATTTTCACAACAGGAAGAGAAATGATTCAGGAAACCACAAATCTGACACTTTTTGCCATAGGCTGGGCAATTTCCATAATCATGTTGCTTGGAACACTTGATACAGGTCTTCTGAACCATTGGAGGATTTTTCCTATCTCCATATCCATTCTTTGATGTACCTACGTGCTCTGTAACCAGGAGGCTGCTGTTGTTGCACAAATCTAGGTGCTCTCCCATGTGGTCGAGAACTAGACGAATATTGTGAACCAATTCGATAACTTCCTGGGCCGATAGTATCAATATCAACTATCAACCTTCTCGTGATGATCCAAACCATTTGTAATCGTCTATTTTGTTGTTTTGTGCTTTCCAAATGAGCTAAAGCCTAGTACCTACTCATAACTGCGAAATTCGCACTTTTTTGACATTGCTTCGAAAATTTGACGTTTGATTCACGCATAAAACGTCAATTTGTCAAAGCAATGTCAAAAAAGTGCGAATTTCGCAGTTATGAGTACTAGGCTTAAATCGGATATTCATTACAGTGAACGTCAGATACGTCACCAAAGCCAATAATTGAATCAGATTCAATTGAACAGTGTACGTCAAATATATCACTATAATCTGTCCAACGAACCTACGGAGTAATTAAATTTCCCAACCTTCTAGAGGTTCGTTACTATTGGTCAATTTCCAGCCCGATTTACACTGTAAAGTAAAAGGCGGAAACACATGTACCATCGTCACCAAAAGTAACTGGGACAGCATCATATTAGCTCTTGTACTATTATATGAATTTTATTGTCAAATATTTGTCAAACTATTAATCAAATGCATTGAAATGAATGACAGTGAAATTAGTCCAGGAGATTATTATGCATTATTTTTGTCCCAGATACTTTTGGTGACGATGGTACGTCAGATACGTCAGTAGACCAGTAATTGAATCAGATATTCAATCGAACAGTGTACGTCAGATATGTCACTAGGCCAATGATCGAATCATATATCACGTTTCAATAAACATATTTTGAAAAGAATTCTACAATAAAACCCGTTTTATATAGCGAATTTCAGTTATTCTTAGAATACTGTTTTAACACTCGATCAAGTTGTGCATATGGACACAAAACACCAGTTACTATGCAATTATCCGATAATTTGCACTAGTGCAAATTATCGCGTAATTCCAATTTGATTGGTTCAAATCAACAATCAAAACATATGTCAGTATATGGTTGGAATGGCAGTTTTGACAGATGTATGAAATTCTCGAAGTAATACCACAAGAGGTTTCAGTATTACCTTCTACCTGTCACGAAACGCGTTATGTAGCAACACCACGACTCCGAAGGAGGAGTGGTGTTGCTGGTAACGCGTTGAGAGTCAGGTAAAAGTATTAGGTAATCCTGAAACATCGAGTGGTATTCAAAAGATTATACAACGAACTAAACTTTAATGCTTTATTAATTTTTATTATTATTAATAACAATATTGCCACCAAGCGCGATAATCCCAAAAGGCTTATCACTTTTTAAGCCTTTCATGTCATATGGGAATAATGTACAGTGAGTTGTATAATCGAATGTAATACACAAGAGGTTTTAGGATTACCGGATAATACTTTTACCTGTCTCCAAACGCGTTAAGCAGCAACACCACGACTCCGAAGGAGGAGTGGTGTTGCTGGCAACGCGTTGAGTGTCAGGTAAAAGTATTAGGTAATCCTGAAACATCGAGTGGTATTCAAAAGGTTATACAACGAACTAAACTTTAATACTTTAAAATTTTAAAAAAATTCTATAATAGAATTTGCCATAAATGCCACCAAGCGCGATAATCCGAAAAGGCTTATCACTTTTTAAGCCTCTCGTGTTATATGGAAATAATGTACAGTGAGTTGTATAATCGCTGTAATTTTCTCTAGTTAAACAAATGGAAAAGAGAATTTTCGCTGTAATTCTGAAAATCGTCATTTGTCTTATGGGATTTCTAACACATGAGTAGAATAATCAGAAAAATTTACCAAATCCCAAAATCTTATAAATGTGCGTGTTAACTTTTACACAGCTTGAAAGCAAAGTCAAATTTCTTGATCACACTTAAACCGAATTTTCGCGACGAATATAGTTCATCAATAGTTCATTTGTGACGTCATGAGTTTGAAGTTTCGTCCATGCTTTCAGCGAACTACGTTTAATATGACATCAGTTTCTCGCGAAAGCGTTTGAGTTTATGGAATCATGGAAGTAGTTCGTCGTGAAAATTCGGTTTTTGACATATTTCAGTCAAGACAACAATAAATCTAATTATTTTTATTGTAGGAATTACGACATTGAAAAGGAGTTTGAAACGATGAGGAAGAAGGGACTCTTCGATTCTTGCCCCAGCGATTGAAATAATCCAGAATTTTTGTAGTACCAATGTAAAATTAACCAATAAAACAAAACAACTAGAAATTGTGACGTTTATTAGTTACAAAAACTAAAAATACACTTTGATCCTAAAGGAAACCATAATCTACAATATGGTACCAACAACTATAAACTACGTTAGCAAAAACTAAAAAATACATTCTTATGTACAAAAATAAAATAAAATAATAAACTAAAAAAACACATTCAAACAATTACTGATTGGTGTTAGTAGTACTTTTCCAAAAAAAAATTAAAGCTTATATTCTAAAATATTAGGAACTCTTAATACAAAGAAAAACCAAGTAAAACATAAAAAGAAATAACCAACCAGCAAAACTAAAATTATTGATATGTTACTTATGTTATAGAGAAAAATGTTCTGGACAGTATTGGAGATATAAAATCTTTCTCTAGTTAGGGCCAGCTTTATATCTCCAACTCACTCAAAACTATTCAGTTTCTTAAAAAAATAAAAGGCTAGTAAAGTTAAGCGTAAAACTAAGCATTCGTTTCAGGGGTTATGTAAACCAGCACAGATTCAACTTAATACAAGTTCATTTTTAAGTACTACTATCGAAGATCTTTTTGCCTCTGAAGCCTTATTCGGGATCATGAAATAAATGCTTCAAGTCATGCTCGTAAAGGGCAATCACAGTCATTATCCCGACTCCAATTAAAAGGCCGCTCAAATGCAAAAAGCACTGAATCAGATTGTCTTCTTCGTCGTGCGCTGAACTCAGTTCAGGAATCATGTCAACCAGTGCTATGTAGATAAAAGTTCCAGCTGCTGCGGCAAACACCCATTGATTAGCAGTTTCTGTATTACCTGCAAATACAATTCAATTAATTATTATTAGCATACCTAAATTAGAATCTTACCTAAATAAAGTCCAACTAAATTGCCCAAAATACAAAGACCGCTTGACAGCAAATTATAGAATAGCGCCTGTTTGATGCTCATGCCAGCTTTGAGCAGCATGGCGAAATCGCCCAGCTCGTGCGGCAACTCATGACAAAACACCGCGACGGTTGTTGAAAATCCTCCAGCCAAACCGCTAGCAAAGGCGGCCCCTATCGCCATGCCGTCTGTGAAATTGTGCAAACCGTCGCCCATTATCACCATCCATGCAACCGAAGAATAATTCTAGAATTCAATTATAGAAGATAATTATATATAAAAATATTCTAGCGATAATTCTTACTTGTGGTGCAGCGTGAACGTGTCCATGCTTGTGAGAATGTCCGTGGTGAACGTTGGCATGCTCCCTGACAATTACCGTAAAGTCTTCGTGATCGCGCGGTAACATTTTCGCTTCTATACAGGGCGTCGAAATTGAATCTCCATCGGGCATGTTCTGGTTCGTTTCCAGTTTGTCCGTGGCGGGCGATATTGAATTTTTCATTTGTATTTCAGACTTGGAATCTGGTTGAATGCAAGACTGTTAGTTAGATTGCAAGTTTTGTATTTTTCTGTTTCATTTGGAATTATAGTTCCAGAAATGCAATTTTTTTACCATTAAACTTACTTTCAGTCATAATATCTTTATAACAATAAGGCGACGTATTGTACTTGTCCATGCACTGGGTGGAATTTCGTCTTTCCCCTTGGTCATCAAAAATTTTAACGTGAGCATGCTAAAAAACAATTATCAAAAACAAAAAAAAACAACCTACAATAATAATTTTTACAGGGACAGTCTTATGTTTCTGCTTCTTCTTCCTCCATTTAACAGCTACCAAAATCAGTCTTTCCATTACAAAGAAAAACGTGAGACCCATCATAGCCACCAAACCTTTGAAGGTGTTTTGTTGGTGCGGGTCCTCACCGCTGTGGTCCTCGTGCTGGTGCCCATTACCAGCCATTGCGTGAGGCAGCAAATGCAGTAAAGCATCGCCGGCTAGAGTGCCCACAGCTAAAGCTACCAAAAACTGAATTAAAGGTTTATAAAACCTTTTTTGCATCAGGGGGATTATAATTAGGGCTCCCACTCCGCAAACACTTATAATTAACACAGCCAAAATGGAGTAGATCCATTTGCTCGAATCTATATCGGAAGTTGGGGTCGAGACGTCGAATGTGTCTTTTTTGTTCGGACACGGTTCGACCAGGAGGCTGTAGACCATTAGAGGACAAACTTCGGCGAACGATGTGTGGTTGAGGCTGTCTTTGTTGACTTTTTGATGAAAGATGTTGATGGATTCTTTAGTGAAACACTGGAAAATAATAAAGGAATTATTACTTGCTTCAAAAACCTACCTAATTTGTGTGAATTTAGGAACTTTTTGTTTCCTTCAAAAATTTGTAATGGAATTGTATCAAGTATCTTGCTTACTTTAACTGTTAAAAGCATTTTTTCAATTCAACTCAAAAACTAAAATTAAATATAAATTTTTTTTAGGGCAGTGAGTTTAGGATACAAGATTATCTCCATAGACAGTTTTGACATATTTGTAAGGTTTTCTCTAGTGTAGACAGAATGAAATTGATTTGCAAATGTGATTGCAGTGGTCTTTGAGTCTTTTATAAATAAGCTCATTACTTATTGGATCTCATAGGATTAAATCAAGAACCTGCTTAAATTGCACTTAATATAGGAATAAAAGCGTTTATCATTTTTTGCCCGAAAATTTTGTTCATAACTTTCCTTGCTTCAGAGATTAATTTTTCTAGTTTGTTATTGTGTATTCGTCGATATCCTATTCCACCTACGGTGCTGCAAGGGATTCTGGTAACACCACAAGAGTTAAAAACAAAAATTAAAAAACTACCTAACAAAAAGAGCCCAGGACCTGACACTATTGGAAACAATCTAATTAAACACTTACCAAGGAAAACTATTATGCAGCTTGTACACATAATAAACGCAGTAATAACTCTGCAGCATTTCCCATTAGCATGGAAACAAGCTGCCATAATAGTTTTTCCAAAACCAGGAAAAGACCTTACTCTACTACAATCTTACAGACCCATATATTTACTAAACTCACTAGGGAAAGTTGCTGAACGAATACTTTTGGACAGAATTACCCGGACAATTGACACCCTTAACTTTCTCCCACCAAAGCAGTTTGGGTTTCGACAAAAACATAACACGACCCTAGCAGTAGCGAAGGTGGCTCAAGATGTTTCAATCTCCTTCAATAACCACGAAAACATTTTCCTGCTGCTGCTGGACATCGAGAAGGCCTTCGATAAGGTATGGCACAATGACCTAATCTACAAATTAATGACCAAGCATAATTTTCCACTACACTTTACATTACTCATTGTGTCATACCTTAGCAACAGGACCTTCAAGGTCAAAACAGAACATGCACACTCACAAACCAAGACAATTAGAGCAGGAGTACCTCAGGGCACGGTACTATCCCCAACTCTATTCAACTTATACATTGCAGACATACCGAAAACTTACAACACTGGCATAATGATGTACGCAGACGACACAGCTATATACACTAGTGCCTTTTTCGCAGAAGATGCGAGAAGGGCTCTGGTGGACCATCTCAGCCTAATGATCCCCTACCTGCGAGACTGGAAAATCACTCTGAACTCTTCGAAAACTGAACTTTTAACATTAACCAGAAAACGGACAAACATCGCAATTGAACCACCCTTAACTATCAACAACGTAGAAATACATGAAATAAGAATGTCATAGTTTTTAACATACCCTGGCAGATTGTTATAGGACCTCTCTGAAGATCTTTTAGATTTTACAGTTACACGTAGGTCGGTTCTTGTATGAGTATTATAATTATGAATAGTTTAATTATAAACTAATTTTGTATTGAGATATTCAGGTATCATACCATTTTTCATTTTAAAGATAAATATCATTGCCTGAAACTCCAAAAAATACCCAACCGATAACCAGTTCAAGTTTTGTAGAAGTGTCTTTATCGAAGTATCCCTAGGCATACTTAGTAGAATACGCATGGATTTATTTTGTAATTTTTGCAAGCGATCTATTTCATTTTTGTTGGCCATGTATAAAACTGTAGATGCGAATGTTAGGTGGGGTAGAATAATAGTATTATAAACTATGCTCTTTGACCATTGAGTAAGAAACGGTGCCACCCTTGCGAAGAAGTTAGTATTTTTAGCAATTTTATTATTTATACATATAAGTGAGATGTTTTTTAAAATTCCTATTTCATATTTCAATAAATGTTTTCTGCTGTCCTGCTACAAGCACTACGCGACTGACGATACTTTTCACACAAACGAGAAGAAGGGTTTTTATAACTGGTTTTCCCTTCAACAAATCATGGTAACTACAAAATGACATACAGGACTATAATTTGACATAACCGCTTTTAAGTTGGAACTGGAATTAGCCTATAAGGAGTCCAAAAAGCCTCAGTAAAGCCCTAGCAAAATCCTGGTTGCCACTACCACCCCTGCTTATGAATAGATTTGTTAGTCTATTTAAGTAATAAGTAGGTTAAGGTAGTTTTAAGATTATGATGTAAATATTGTAAATAAATGACTATTCTGATTCTGATTATGTTAGATTTATGTCTGTTGATAGTAGTCCTATACAGTGTCCCGCATAATGTTTGCTACATATTGGGAAATTTTTTGAGAAATTTTGTTATGACCAACTTTTCCCTTTCTTTTTAATTGTAGATTATGGATAAATTTTGTTGTTGCCGTGATGTGAATAATTTTGAATTAAAAGAAAATGCACCCTTTCGCATTTCAATGTTTTTCTGAAAAGAGGAAAACTAGGAGCTTATCATAATAAAATTTCGAATGGATTCAATGAAAAACCATACCAAGAGTTGAAAATTAAGTTTCAAATGCTAACTTAATACTGATCTGTTGAAAAAAAATTAACATATTAGAACCTTGAAAGATTAAAATTTATGATATCTATATTTACTTAGCCAACTTTTAACAATCTAATATTAATCACATCAGCTTTTCATTATCTATGCGAGTAACCGCTTTTGATTCAAGTTGTTCTCGAAAATTTAGTATCTGTGTATATTTCAAGATTTTGGATACATATTTTTCTTAGAAAAACATTACCTAATAGGTATAATACCTATAGACTTTATTTACTTAACATTTTGCTAAACTAAATAGATTCAGTAATTGTATCTGTGTGGTATTTATTTTTATAAATTCTAATAAACAAGGGCAATTTGAGCATTTGCTTCATAAATTATGGCCTTGTTTTGTGACATTGATAAGGATGAGAAATCAAGGAATTTCGATATGCTTAAAGATCTCCAGTTGAAAATCCATGCTTATATTCAAAAATAAAATTATAGCATCATGACTTAACACTCCTGAAGTTTGTTTTGTCTCCTGACTTGAAAAAGTGGTTGATTCTTCCCTTGGAAGGTTACATATTCTAATTTTCCAAGCTTCTAGATTAGTACATATTTTAAGCGTCGATACTCACAGTTTCGTTTTGTTCGATCTCTCCAGCCTCTTTCTTGAAATCGAAATGCTCGTCTTGGTGTAAATGCAATTTTTCCGAAACTATATGCAACACGTCCAGCCTCCTCAAAAGCTCCCCTAGTCCTTCCATAGTCATCTTATCGCCGTCCCCGAATTTTAAAAATATCTTCCTTAAAAAATCATTGTCGATGCCGACATTTTCACTGTCTGAGCTTCTTTTTGTTATTCGATCATTAGGGTCGGCATTGTGGGAACCGTCAGAAATACTGTATTCCGGTAATTTTTTTCTAAAAATAATCATAACTATTTGCGGAACATTACAGGCAAATTTACCTCAAATTTAGATTCGGATTGTTATCTGGAATAGGAATATTTGGATCCTTGTAACCATCGTGCCTGTGTTGTTCCAAGTGGCCAATGGCAGCGTGCGAAGCACATGGAGAATGTGTAGCACATATAAAGCAAAATATGCTTACTGATAATAAGTGATGTGCCATTTTAATCTGAAACAAATTGATTGAATATTAAAAACAAAATTCACAGGTAGAAATCCCAAAACTATTGGAATTATTTTTACCAGAGAAATTCTGTAACACCCATGTGTGATGTCATTATTAATTTACAGACATTTTCGCAATAAATTGAAAGCATTTAAAAGGTCGAATCAAATGCGACAGGAATTTAAATTAAAAATAGTTTATAGCGACAGTGAGCCTACAACTAAATTTGATTATATAAAAAGGTTTTAATCAAAATAATTACATTTTATGTTGTCCACAAATGAACATTGTTATCTGTTTGTATGTTGAGAAAAAAATGCTAACATAATGAAATTACAGTATTTACATAAAAATTGCTGACAGTAAAAAACCAAACATATAATCAGCACTGCAACGAAAGCATTTTTTTATCATGAACATATCAACACAATTGTTGTAGAATAAGCTGAAATTCAAGAAGTCCTACCTAAATAATAATTGGTACATTTTTAGCTCTTCCTCCTAGAAAACTTTACACAACACTAATACGATATTTTTATTAAGTTAATAAAACGCAATAATTGTGACATTAAGCCTACACAGGCCATTAAGCTGTTTATTTAAACCTTCGCTTTAATCCCCGTTTGGCTTTGTGCTAAGTGAATTTATCTGAATTTACTTGTTTGATAAATATTTTGTAATTAATTTTTTTCTATTCTGCGGGGTCGTTCACATGTTTGCTTTTAGTTGAACATGCAAATAATATTTTCCTCAGATGATTCATCTTCTGAGAAAGTTGAAATTGTTTCTTGTAACGAAATATTTGAAAAGATTCTACCCAGACCTTAGCTTAATGGGTTTATTTGCTCAGAAATCTAACATGAGGTTTTGGTTTTTAATTTTAAGTGTGTAATTGGTTACACATTATTATTAAATAGGATTTTAAACTGAAATTTGAAAAGTGAAATGGAGTAGCTGCTATTTAGGTAGGTAAGTACCTAATTAAAAAGGTTAAATAGGGACAAAGTGACAAGATTTAGGTCAGCAGTTATTAATAGATATACTTAATAAATGTTTTAGAAATACGAAAAAAGATAGAAAGTTGATATTTTCAGTGATTCTTATCCTAGTAGAAGACGACAAATCCTGCAAAATTTCAACTCATTTGGACTTATAGTTTCTGAGAAAAAACCGTGTTAAGGAATTTGGGGCGAATTTTTGGATTTTTCACTTTTTCTGAGGTTTTTTTTTCATATATTTTGATTTAAAATCTCACAATAAATCACTGTATGGAGCGAGGAGTAAACCACCTTGGAATTATAAGCTACAAGCGTGTGGGATTCCGGTGGAATTCCAGATTTTGTAGTTTAGAAACTGCTCATTTTCATATCAGAACGACGGGAGCGAGGATGGGAGGTTCAAAAATGAGTAGTTTTAAAATTGCAGGATTCACAAACATAAGGAAACCAATTTCTCCAAGTAGAATTTAGATTACTCATGAAATGTACTTGTTACTCATTAGTTCAAAATTTAATTCATCTCATTAATTCAAAAACTCACTCATTTTCAGGCCAGCACATTTTTACAGCTTCTTCATGCAACTTGACTTCAAATTAACTTTTCCATATGAAAAAGACTTCAATTCATTATTCCTGAAAGTTTGAAGTCACTGCGATCATTAGAAGTATACTCGGAAGTATATTGCACTAGTGATTTTTGCAGATTTCAATCATTTTTGCATGCATCAACGTAAGAAAAAGCTTCTAAATTTGATTTGGAGCTTCAAATCAACTTCAAAACTTTTCCACAAAGAGGAAACTTCAATTCAGAAATTCTGGAAGTTTCAAGTTACTGTACTGTGATCATTAGAAGTGATATTTTAATAATTTTTGCATGAATTAACATAAGAAAAAGCTTCCAAATTTAGTTTGTTTGGAGCTTCAAATAAACTTCAAATTAACTTTTCCACAAAGAGGAAACTTCAATTCATAATTCCTGAGAGTTTCAAGTCACTGTGATCATTTGAAGCATATTGGACAAGTGATTTTTGCAGATTTTAATCATTTTTGCATGCACTAATGTAAGAAAAAGCTTCCAAATTTAGTTTGAAGCTTCAAATTACCTTTTTCACAAAGGGGAAACTTCAATTTACTTATAAATCCTGAAAGCTCCAAGTCACTGTGATCATTTGAAGTAGGTATATTGCACAAGTGATTTTTGTAGATTTTAATCATTTTTGCATGCATTAAAGTAAGAAAAAGCTTCCCAATTTAGTTTGGAGCTTCAAAACAACTTCAAATGAACTTTGCCACAAAGAGGAAACTTCAATTTATATATCCTAAAAGTTTCAAGTCACTGTGATCATAAGAAGTATTTTGCATAAGTGATATTTGCAGATTTTAATCATTTTTCCATGCATTAACATGATAAAAAGCTTCTTAATTCAGTTTGGAGCCTCAAATCAACTTCAAATTAACTTTTCCATAAAGAGGAAACTTCAATTCATAATTCCTTGAAGTTTCAAGTCACTGTGATCATTTGAAGTACTTTGCACTTGCAGAATTCGGAAAAAAAAGAGAAATAAATTGGGTAATATAATCACCTTGTAATAACTAATTTCGGCGTTTTATATTATTAGCTTTGAGGTTAGGATTTTAGCTTTTTACCTTTTGCAATTAATTTTAAAGGCTCGTTACCTACATAAAATGAAAAACCAAACAAAAATAAACTGGTTCAATTCTAGATATTCTCCTGACCTATTTTCAACGACCCAGGGTCTATTCATAAAAAAAATGTACTATAATTTTCCCACACATTTTTTTAGGATTGAAAAACAATACATAGAAAATGATTTTACTATAAAAATACATTGAATAATTACTTACCAATTTAAAGTTGAAAGCCTTACATGGACATAACGAATTATCAAGTTTTTGAGTCCAAGCAAAAGGGCAACACAAATTCTGACAATTCCTTCAATAATTAATAATTGCTAATTCATTCACGAAATTCTATTTATTTACTAAATTAGGTTGTTGCCTCGCTCAGAGTCAAGTGTCGCCCCACTTCCTAATGCTAAAATAAATTATCTATGGAATAGACTCGTTGGAATTCGTATGGGTATGGATGGTCCGCAACCAACCAGACGAAAATGCTGACATTGCTGACGCAATAAGCGTGTTACGTGTTGCGTGTTGCCTTGAATCACCCAATCGAGAATGCTGACTCGTGAAATTTGACGTCAGACAATAAATTATCCGACCAATAACAAGAACAATTCGATTATCGAAATAATTGAAATTTTGTCCTTGTGGTAGAATTTATTTTGAATTTGAATGGTTCTGGACTTAGATTACGTTCTGGCTTGTGTTTAATTGCAACGTGCCTGGTTTTACTTTGGCAATTGAAAACGCTATAATAATGGTGGACGGGACGCTCCGAGTTGGAGTAGCCGGAACAGGTCGGGGATTCTAAAATCACGATTCGACATACGATTCGACAACGAGACGATTTTTCCGACGATTCTAGGTTAGAAATCTCATTGGAATTATACCTTTCGACACGACAAGGCCGGTATCGTTGTCGAGTCGTGTGTCGAATCGTGATTTTATGGCCATTTCCACCAACTATTTTAGGGAAGCCCTAACGATAGGTATGCCTTAAACTGACATTTCTCCATGTAAAAATGTCATTTTAGGGAATACTTATCGTTAGGGCTCCCCTAAAATAGTGGGTGGAAACGGCCATTAGAATCTCGGCCCAGTTATTTTTTACGTGTTCTCGTTGTTGACATCTGATCCAAGTACCTGCGGAGTACTCAGAGTACCCCAGTGTAAGCAAGCAAAATCCGATTTATTGGATGGGGTGGAAATTCGTTAAAACCGAAGACCTCAGGACTTCGATGTTAAATAATAGTACTATTGATTCTATTAGCGTCTGTCTATCAACTTAGCGAGACAACTTCGAAAAATCGATTTTCCATTATGCCAAGAATTTGCCGCTTTTTTGCCGCTAATTAAATGTGGAATTAAAAAATTTGCCGCTCTTTTGGTTTTTTCTTAATTACGTGTTTTGCTAACTTGACGTCAAGATAGCGAGACAACATCACTAAATATGTCAGCACTAAAAAACTAGGTACTTGAAAATTTGCCGTTTTTTTGCCGCTAATTAGTTGTAAAAATCAAAAATTTGCCGGTTATTTTTTTTTCATAAAAAATAAAGTTTGAAAAAAAAAACCATTTGTTTCGCTAACTTGACGTCAAGTTAGCGAGACATTATCACCAAAAATGTCGGTAGTGAAAAATTGAGTGAATGGAAATTTGCCGTTTTTTTGCCGCTAATTAGTTGTGAAAACCAAAAATTTGCCGCTTTTTTTTACAAAAAATCAAGTTTGAAACAAAAAAACATGTGTTTCGCTAACTTGACGTCAAGTTAGCGAGACAATATCACTAAAAATGTCGGTAGTGATGAGTTGAGTGAATGGAAATTTGCCGTTTTTTTGCCGCTAATTAGATGTGAAAACTAAAAATATGCCGCTACCTTTCTTTTCATAAGAAAATCGTGTTCGAAAATAAAATAGTGTTTTGCTAATTTAACGTAAAGTTAGCGAGATCACTAAAAATTTCGGTAGTGATAGATTGAGTGAGTGGAAATTTGCCGCTAATTATCTCTTTTTCTACAAGAAAATATCGCGTTTGAAAAAAAAATATCATGTATTTCGCTAACTTGACATCAAGTTAGCAAAACAGTAAACAGTATCAATAAAAATGTCGGTAGAAAATTTTATTCATCTGTCAAAACTGGTATTCGAACCTCAGACATTCGAACCATAAACTGGGCTCTGTGTCATTTGCGCGACAGTCGTTTGCGCGAGGGAGAAAAGCGCGATACTAAACACGCGAGGGACAAAAGCGCGACGGAACAAAAACGCGACTGCATAAAAGCGCGAGAAACAAAGGCACGAGCGAGAAAAGCGCGAGAAACAAAAGCGCGAGGGACAAAAGCGCGACGGAACAAAA